GCCGAGGCGAACACCGGCCGATAGTGCAATCGCGAACCGGTACAACCGGAGCGCAACCCCCCGGCGCGGTCATAATTGCATGCACACGCGACGATAACCACTGCAGCAGCCAGCAGCACCAGCAGCCGGCAGCTTGTTATTGCGGCTCTACGGTTCGACGCTGTTGTCCCGTTTGTTTACGCGCTCGGCCCGGCCCGACCCGGCCCAACCCGATCCGTCCTTATTCCTCTCGAACCAAAAACCGAGCATTCCACGCCAAACATGCTATTGCAAAATTCTCGAGGTCGCTGGAAAGCGCGTTTCTCGCACTTTAAAATGAGCCAAGGTTCGTTTCTCTGTGATTTTTTTTAACGAAGTTGTAGGACTTTGAAGACCGACAAATATGGCCGAAGCGATAAGCTCAGAAATCGGACTCTCGATTTCGAATACTGTCGGCACACTTTTGATTCAAACGATTGTGGATTGATAAAAAGAAATCGCGCAACGATCGTTTTGTGCTCGTTGGAAAGAGGAGACTTCAGGCTCTAAGGCCAGCTGAGTTTCGGTCGTTAATAAAAATTTTTTATCGCTCCACTTTACCTTGAAGTCGAGGAATGCTTAAAAATTGGACATTGTCATTGAAAATGCCACTGTTAACGATAAAGTAATGATACAATAGAATACCTTAAGCAGTTTTAAAGCAGAGATTTCACTCTTCAAGATAAGCTATGGTTCATTTATCTACGATTTCTTTTAGAGAATTTACAATACTTTGAATATGGTCAACTTTTCGACTAGTATATAGTGGCCCCATTAAAAAAAGCCCGATATCACGCTTTCGATTCGAAGTGCTACAAAGTGGCAACAAAAATTCGTAGAGCGATGCTTTTGGGCTCGTTGAAAAGGGAAAACTCCATTCTATGAAAGCATGGTAATCTCAATCCGTAAAAAAATTTTTGAACATTCCACAGCTCCTTGAAGCCAAAAAATGGTCAGAAAAGGGACACTGTTACTAAAAATGCCGCAGTTAACGATACAGCCACGCAATGACCAAAAACTTTAGCTCCCTGAAAAGTGCATTTTCCAGCCTTTAAAATGAGCCTAGGCTCATATGCCTCCGATTTTTTTCGCCTACGTCAGATGGAACATCAATGTTTTGTTTCACCGTCTCTTTCCGCTCTCTCCCACATCACTAGCTATTCCCAATAACGTTTGTTACCATTCCGCCGTGACTAAAATTCCAGAATTTATTTACAAACGCGGCCCGCTCGACTGTCAACATTTCCACGTTCCTTACGGTGAGTCAGTATTTTTTCGCCGGGACCCGGACCGTCCGAGATCTATCTCTAAACCAGAATTCCAAACAGTGGAGCATCACGGTAGAACGCGAACAATTTCCACGGGGTTGTTTCTCGCATTTCCGACTCCGCGTTTCGAAGAGGGCAAGCACGGCGGAGAGAAGAAGGGGGGGCTGAAAAAAGGAAACGGCGAGCAGCAGCCTCCGCGAATTAAAATAAGGGAGAGGCACGCGAGGGAGAGACTGTTAACGGTTGGAAACTCGCTAATTTCCTCGTTTTAATTTTTTCCCCGCGCAACGGGAATCTAATTAACTTGCTCGAGTGGCTTTCGCGGGGGGAGGGCGGCGCGGTACGGCACGGCACGGCAGCGTCGCGGGCCCGGGGCCCGGGGAGGGTAAACAAAAGGCGGTCACAAATTTTCGTCTCCCGGGACGACGGGACATTCTTGTTTTGCCGCACCCCGCCCCCGCGAGCTGCGGATGGAGCCGTTCTAAATGCAGAACGGAACGCGATAGTCCCGGAATTGTTCTCCGACGAAAGAAACGTCAACAATTACGGCGACGCCAAAGCGGTTCCCAAATTCCCGCGGGCCATTCTGCGGGGAAGCACTTGGGATTCCCCGCGGCAGAGAGAGAAAAAAAAGAGGAAAGATAAAATCGTCGTACAGTATCCTCTTTGTAACTGTCGAAAAGATCTCCACCGTAACTGACGTAATTCTTTCCCCAACAATGAATGAATCCCCTTGGGAACCAGTGAAACGTTAACACTTTGACTGCCGCGTCAAGCAGCCTCACAAAAATTTCATAAAATTAAAGCATTCGTTCAATCGAATTTAATTGTCTCTGCCGAAAGAAGTTGCTGAAGACGACCACCGGTGCACCCTCTTGCGGGACACCCTGTAGACCGTTGGAGTAGTCGATTACGGTGCCGTCGTTAATTGGCAGCGCTCTTTATTTACCGCTTTCCCTTTCGATCCTGCGAGAGAGCCACGAAGAAGCCGCTCGACTCGAGTGAATAAACTTCGACCGCTTTGAAGAAATTGCAACGGGAACGCGTGGAAGATTATTGCGCGATGGAACGGCGCGCGGGTGGAGGGGCGGGGGGGCCAGTTGTCCGTTGAGCGTCCATTTAATTCGTCCGGTGGCGCTTAAGACGGCGATGTGGGGGGAGGGGGAGGGGGGGATGCATTAGTAACGCGTCAAGTGGCACTTGGTCGTAAACGAAGCGGCCGGGGAGACGTCCCCGAGTGTTCATTTAATTCGTCCCGTTTCCGCGGTAATGGCGAAAGCATGCTGGAGAGTAGCAGTTCCCAAGCGGGTGTACATCTCTCGACTTACAGGAGCCACTCGCCCGCCCCTGCACGGAACCGGCGTGAATGGTCGTTCATAAGGGGGAGGGTGTCGGTCACTTAATTCCCGTTCGCGAGCAAAACAAACGAGAAAACCGGCGGCGGGTATCGCCGGGAAGCGCGCGGAAGCAGGTAAGCAAACGGCGTCCTCGACCGTTTAATTTAGCCGGGATTAGGGCAGCATTCACCGACACGGGAAACGACACAATACAGGCGGTGACCCGCCACCTCGACGTTTGATTCATCCCTGCCGAGCATCATCGCGATAAGGGTTGTCCGACCGAATATCCGGCCGGCCCGAGACCCTCTCGTGTGGCCTCCCGTCGCGCCGGACGGCGAAGCTCGCCAATTTTCCGGGCGAATTTCAGTCAGCGGCGGGAGAAGGGGGTTCTGACTCGCGACTACCGCCCCTGGAACCCCCACCAGCCGGTCGCCAGCGTCCCCCACTCCTCGCGAGTCGAGCTGGTCGCGTGGGAAGCCGACTAGGGCGCGGGGTCGCGTCCCGCGGTGTTCGTACGGCCTCGGACGCCCTCGGCGGGCTTCGCCGCGTCTGCTGAGCGGGCGTAGGGGTACTGTGAGTCAGAGTGGGAGGCGATCGGCCGCGGAGGGGGCTGGGGGCCGTGGTGGGGGGCAGAGCCGTGTCGAGCAGGCTGCATTAGCTGGCGTCAGGGCAGCACTCGTACACGCGACCGCTGCGCGGCACACACGGTTCTGCCAAATGCCTAACCGGCTGAGGTTGTCCCGAAGCGACGCGTGCCTCTCGCGCGATCGTCACGCGTGTCGCTGCTCCTCGTGAGAGGGAGAGAGAGAGAGAGAGAGAGAGAGAGAGAGAGAGAGAGGGAGGTCAAGGGGAGTCCCGTAGACAAGACTCGTACAACCCCGTGGAGGTTGACCGTGTCCTCCGACACCGCAGTCAACGTAGACGGCGGCCACGTTTTCTTCTGTGACGCGACGATACAGAGAGAAACAAAGAGGGAACGATCAGTGACACCGCTGTCAGTGCACGCCAATCTGTGTGACAGTGACTCGAATTGTGCGAACTCGGTTCTCAGTTTCCTTTCCCGTTGTTCCGCGCCGCGTGTGACGAACAAGGACGAACACCATGGATTGGAGACTCGGATTCCTGCTGGTCTGCTTCGTCGTCGAGGGTGAGTCTCCCCGCGGCGAATCGGGGCTCGCGTGCACCGGGGAATCGTGGCTTTTTCCGCGATGCGACGCGGTGCTGTGTCACTCTATGCGGCAGCACCGATGGGGGAGTAGCGTGCGTCCGGATCTATTAAAAATTCCGCTGCTGCTGCTGCCGCGGCCGCCGCCGCCACCGCCGCCACTCGCGACGCGGATTCGGCCCGCCCCGACGTTTGTTCGATAACCCAACGGTGCCTCCTCGGACTTTCTTGGTGCGAGCCTCGACCTCGAGGGGCCGACTCGGTTGCAAATCGAAAATTGGCGGGTCAAATATTTTTGCTCCCAGAGCAAAACATTTCGGGGCTCGGCGGGTAGAGGGGGTGACTTTTCGGAGGGTGGCTTACGATGGATAGGCTGGTGGTTCTTGAACAGAAGGGTTTGGTGAAGATGACGGCGTTGGAGGGGTATGAAATCTTGAATGATGGATAAGGCGGTTAACGGTGGCAATAATGATTTTTGAAGGGGTAGTTTGGCAAAGGTTACGGTATTGAAAGGAAAACAAATAATTGATGATGGGGATAAGGTGGCGAAGGGTGGTGGGCTGGTCATAATTTTCTGGAGAGTGGTTTAGGTTCGATGGGACGATGACGTTCGAAGGGATAATTTGGCAAAGGCGATGATGTCGAAGGGGGAACAAATAATAATTGATGATGGATAAGGTGGTTAAAGGTGGTGGCGCGGGTACAATGTTTTTTTTTTTGGAGGGTCGTACGGGATGGATAGAACGATGAATGTTGAATGGGATGGTTTTGGCGAGGACGACTGAAGATTTACGGCTGTGTCGGANTAAGGGTTGTCCGACCGAATATCCGGCCGGCCCGAGACCCTCTCGTGTGGCCTCCCGTCGCGCCGGACGGCGAAGCTCGCCAATTTTCCGGGCGAATTTCAGTCAGCGGCGGGAGAAGGGGGTTCTGACTCGCGACTACCGCCCCTGGAACCCCCACCAGCCGGTCGCCAGCGTCCCCCACTCCTCGCGAGTCGAGCTGGTCGCGTGGGAAGCCGACTAGGGCGCGGGGTCGCGTCCCGCGGTGTTCGTACGGCCTCGGACGCCCTCGGCGGGCTTCGCCGCGTCTGCTGAGCGGGCGTAGGGGTACTGTGAGTCAGAGTGGGAGGCGATCGGCCGCGGAGGGGGCTGGGGGCCGTGGTGGGGGGCAGAGCCGTGTCGAGCAGGCTGCATTAGCTGGCGTCAGGGCAGCACTCGTACACGCGACCGCTGCGCGGCACACACGGTTCTGCCAAATGCCTAACCGGCTGAGGTTGTCCCGAAGCGACGCGTGCCTCTCGCGCGATCGTCACGCGTGTCGCTGCTCCTCGTGAGAGGGAGAGAGAGAGAGAGAGAGAGAGAGAGAGAGAGAGAGAGGGAGGTCAAGGGGAGTCCCGTAGACAAGACTCGTACAACCCCGTGGAGGTTGACCGTGTCCTCCGACACCGCAGTCAACGTAGACGGCGGCCACGTTTTCTTCTGTGACGCGACGATACAGAGAGAAACAAAGAGGGAACGATCAGTGACACCGCTGTCAGTGCACGCCAATCTGTGTGACAGTGACTCGAATTGTGCGAACTCGGTTCTCAGTTTCCTTTCCCGTTGTTCCGCGCCGCGTGTGACGAACAAGGACGAACACCATGGATTGGAGACTCGGATTCCTGCTGGTCTGCTTCGTCGTCGAGGGTGAGTCTCCCCGCGGCGAATCGGGGCTCGCGTGCACCGGGGAATCGTGGCTTTTTCCGCGATGCGACGCGGTGCTGTGTCACTCTATGCGGCAGCACCGATGGGGGAGTAGCGTGCGTCCGGATCTATTAAAAATTCCGCTGCTGCTGCTGCCGCGGCCGCCGCCGCCACCGCCGCCACTCGCGACGCGGATTCGGCCCGCCCCGACGTTTGTTCGATAACCCAACGGTGCCTCCTCGGACTTTCTTGGTGCGAGCCTCGACCTCGAGGGGCCGACTCGGTTGCAAATCGAAAATTGGCGGGTCAAATATTTTTGCTCCCAGAGCAAAACATTTCGGGGCTCGGCGGGTAGAGGGGGTGACTTTTCGGAGGGTGGCTTACGATGGATAGGCTGGTGGTTCTTGAACAGAAGGGTTTGGTGAAGATGACGGCGTTGGAGGGGTATGAAATCTTGAATGATGGATAAGGCGGTTAACGGTGGCAATAATGATTTTTGAAGGGGTAGTTTGGCAAAGGTTACGGTATTGAAAGGAAAACAAATAATTGATGATGGGGATAAGGTGGCGAAGGGTGGTGGGCTGGTCATAATTTTCTGGAGAGTGGTTTAGGTTCGATGGGACGATGACGTTCGAAGGGATAATTTGGCAAAGGCGATGATGTCGAAGGGGGAACAAATAATAATTGATGATGGATAAGGTGGTTAAAGGTGGTGGCGCGGGTACAATGTTTTTTTTTTTGGAGGGTCGTACGGGATGGATAGAACGATGAATGTTGAATGGGATGGTTTTGGCGAGGACGACTGAAGATTTACGGCTGTGTCGGAGGATAAAATAACTGATGCATAAGATGGTTAAGGATAGTTGGGGATTGTATAAATCCTTGATGGATATACGCGATTGTTTGTGGCTAGTATACTGGACGTTCGACGATGGTCGACCTATCGCAGACAGTTAAAAGGTAATAAAGTTGTTCCGGACGAGTTGCGCGGCCGAGAGTGGTAAAAAATGTACGAGGCGGTTAGGGGTTATTGAAATGGTTAATAATGAACGCGATAGTCATCGACGAGCGGAATAATGCATCATAAACGGGGCGACCGAAGGGGGGTTAAAAATTAACGAAGCTGTCAAAGATCGTTTCGCGATCTAAATTTGTGGCCACAACCGGCGATCCTATCTATCATTAATCATTTCATTTAATAGACAAAATGGCCGATGCCGGTTAAAAATTTACAAAGCGATCAACCACGGTCTGTACATTTAATGCCTAATAACGCGGTCGCGGTTGGATAATCTGGCCGGTTAGAGATTGGCTGAACGATCGCAGTCGATAATCTCTATCCACCGTGGCAGAACCGTACAAACAATGCACCATCATAATCACAGCATTCGCAGCTCCATCGTTCGTCATCGGATCGTAAAAATCTCGTTTGTCGCTCGTGCCGCGCACGGTGAAAACGATCGAACCGCGGTGTCTCTTACTTTCCTCCGGCCACCTGGAGGAAATCTCTCATCGAATCTCTCTCACCTGTAACTCAGGTGTCCCCGATAAGCCGTACGATCGTCGGCGACTCCAGGCCGCTTTCCACGATCGCCTCTACGTTTCCCAGGCGATTTTTAACCGCAAAGGCTGGCGATTCGACGCTGAATAAAACCGAGAATCTAGCGGATTGGCCTCGGGTAGCCGAGCGTGTCCGCTCGATCGTCCGGATTCTTTCTCCGGCGTATTCCTTCCGCGTAGCCCGTTCCGGAACTCATTTCGCGATACGGGATAAACAGAGGCCGCCCGTCGGAACGCGAAAGCAGCTCCGAGAGCCCCGGGCTTGCCCCCACCCACCCCCACGTTCGATCCAATTATCGGCGCGCCTCGGGACGAAAATTCATTTTCTGTTTCTTGATAAAAACGTTCGATTATTCGTCACTCGACGAGTCGCCCGGATTCGTAAGGATTTTCTGAGGGATCGATTCTGCAAACAAAAATTACGAAAAAATTCACAGTAGTGTGTATTGTTGCGTGGAATGACTCTGAATTTTTTGGGAATTTTTGAACGAATAGAACAGAAGATATGCAGCTCGATGTGTAACTACCCCTGAACCTTGCTAAAGCGAGTACGAGAGTCCTCGGAGGACGTCAACTTGAGGCAATAATTATTTTCGGAATCAGTGTTGCGAAAATTCGGAAAAAATTCACAGTTACGCACACCATTATATAATGCGTCTCTGAATTTTTAAAAAAATTTCCATCAAGTAGAACGGAAGATACACAGCTCGATTCGTAACCACCCCTGAAACACAATGGGAACTCGTTGAGAAGCCAGTCAATTTGCCCTAATTATTTCAGTGAAATCCGGTGTCACCATTGAAAGTCAGTCCGGCTGCTTGAAGCACAAAATACAAATTATCGCAGGATCTTTTGTTCGATCCGATCGGCGGCGGGGGGCTAGATCGATAGGGGCGAGGGGAGACAACGGCGTGTGCCGAGGCGAACCGCGCTCGTAGAGTCGACCGGGGCTCCCAACGAGCTTCAATTTCCTGATGGAAGTGGATTAATATAATTTGATGGCGCCCTCCTATCCTCCCCGCGCCTCGCCCCGCCCCCGACAGAGAATTATGCATCTCGCAGCGCGATCTCGTCGCGAAACGCTGCGCCAGCGATGCCCTACGGCTGCCCTGAGCTCGTCGGAAATGTTTGCCCGCGCGATGCAATACTCCGATGACCGGCATTCACCGCGTGACTGCGAGATCTGTAATGACCTGTAGATCCGGCACAAGATTTCCCTATTTGCGGACGTTCTGTCACGTTAACTCGAGGATTTAAGACGTTGTTAAATCGTAACCACAGTTTCCGTTGGAATGCTGAATTTTTTGGAACACCCTGTACTTCTGAACGACGCTTTAGAAATAATTTACGTATACTGGAGGATCATTTACTATAATTATACTATTATTATTATTATTATAATTACTAATTATACCAATTACTGTCTATTTCATTCTATCTTGTATCTTGAAACAACCTGTATTTCTGTCGAATCTTTGGAGCAACTTGTGTAGGACCATTTAATAGGTTCCACGATATTTTAAAAAAATGATAGCTTCGTTATTCTACCATTATTAATTGTAATTACTAGTCTGTGGATTTTATGCATTTATAACAAAAATGCGTAGATGAAACTTAAAACAATGAAAATATTAAAAGAATTTCGGGACATCTATGTGTCACTTTCAACTCGCTAAACTCATTAAAGATAGAAAAACATTTTTATCCGATTCGTGATTATTGCAATTGATGAAGATAATTTTTATTTTGCAGAAAGATCTAACAATTACTGTCTCTTTCGTTCTCTCGAGTATAATAGAATCTCGATTATCCGAGCTAAGCAGAGTGACGTAAATGTTCAGATAATATAACAATAACTTAGTTAAAGTGTCAGTTGTATTGATTTATACAATGAATCGCTTTGCACGTGATTCGCCTTTGATTGAGCTGCTTGCATAATCCAAATTTTGTAACACGTGCCCACGAATTGTAAGCAGTGGGAGTAAAGTAGACGACATTCAAGCTGCTGTCACTTTTTGAAAAAAAATCGCAGCACAATGCACGTAGGCTCATTTTAAAGCGTGAAATCTCCCCTTTCGATTGACCTTAGCAAGATTGTCCTAGAGCACCTACTTGTTAATCCACGAAGGCATCAATTCTCGGTTTTCAGCGATCAGCGATTCAGCGATCGTTCTTTAATTTTTATGCAGTAAATTCTCTCTAATTAACGCTTACCTTGGAAATAAAATATAGTTGTTGACAATCGATAACTATAAAAACGAGCCGCAGGGCTCAAATAATCGCATCACCTCTCCCCAAGCTGTCCATTTTCGCTTCCAAGCGTCAATTAGGGAGAATTTACTGCACTTAAATAACACACAATTTCGATATCAGGACCGGATAATCGAGGTTCTGCTGTATCTCGAGACACCCTCTATTTAAGGACAATATTTTTGGGTCAACCTGTAGCTATCGATGCGTCCCCGGACGGCGGGTAGTTCGAAGGGACCGATGACTCTGTAAACGTCGCTGCAGGTTGCAAACCGGTCTCATCTTCGGCCAGTAAGGCAGGTGTGCCGGCACGCGCGCCCGATCCATCGGGAGTAAAATAGTGAAGAGGGAGGCAGAGGGAGGGGTAGCACGGTGCCATGCCGGTCGACGATAACGATCATAATAATTTAATTTAACACTCGGCGGGAGAAGGAGGTCACAGTCGCATCGATCTTCCCCGGAGAGTCCGCGAGATGCAGCGAGCAAATATTAAAGAGGCGCCCGCCGCTCCCGACCCGCCCCCCTTAAACCGTTCCGGCCGTGCGCCCCTCGCCGGGCGGACGGGGGGAGGGGTGGGTTGTTTCTCCGGCACTTTTTCTCCGTTCGCTTGTGTCCGCAAGCGGCGCGAAACATTGTTCATTAGCGGGGAGAACCCGTTTCCATTCCTTCGTTTTTGTCAATATTTTAGGGTCTCATTAAGCAGGGAAAGAGAAGTTTCAACGTTATAATTTAAAACCGCGCCGCTTTCAGCCTTTTCTACATTCAGTTTTCGCGTGTCCTATTCACCGGCCCGTAAAACGAAGAAAACCGGCGGCGTAAAGGGCGCGAATGAAATAATTATGTAAAACGAGGAAAAAAAAAATCGTGTTTATCCACACGGGAGCCGGGAGCGCGCGGGCCAGCGAGAGGAGAGAAAAAAAGAGGAGGAGGAGGAGAATGCGGTCCAATTAACCCCTCCGCGGGTCCCCACCGCCGGGAAACAGGGGATTTTTGTCGCGCGCCGTAAGAACGGGCGACGATTTCTCCTCGAGCACCCGGTATACAACACCGTAAGCACTCTGCAGCTTTTATCAGCGCCGCGTGTTCTCTTTATCTCCTCGCGGGCGGCTCGTTTTACGTAATGTCTCGGCTCAGCATAATTCAGTTCGGATGCAGTCAAACGTTTAGTCGTGTTACATTTATTTATACAATTA